TAAATTTTACTAATATTATAAATGCGAATGTCCGGATGGATGGATGGAGAGATGTTTGCAGGTATCTCCATAACGGCTGGACAGATCTGTATGAAATGACATACATATAGAATTATAGTCTGGAAGAACACATAGACTTATATTTACGTTTTTTTTAATTTCGCGGGCGACAGTTTTATAATAAGTATACTATATTAATTAAATTTGATTTAATGGTCAAACAATCAAAATCGAATATATGACAACTTATTAATTTAATTTATAAAATATCTTTGATGATGTAGATTCACATAATATTTTTTGTTACAGTATCTTTAGCAATGTAGAAGCGATGTGCGCGTCAGCCACCGCGGCTCTGCTGTTGGGCGCACTTGCTGTCCTGCCGAGTCGAGGTAACTGACATTTATTGTACCTATATACTATATATTTTTATCCATTTACATATTAAACTAGTTATCAGTACACTATAGCCATATGCAGCGATTTGTCCTGTTAAATGTCATTATGTAATAGATTTTTTTAAAATAAATATAGCAAACATTAGTACATAATTTAAGTACTTATCTCTTCTAGGGACCGAGGCCGACGCTACATTAACAATTTTGAAGGAAACACGCGAAGCAGGCTCGCAACCAACAATAAACCAACTTTATCAAATGCTCTACCGTAGCCCGGACTCGCATAATCAAACTAAACTCCTTGCAAACTCAAACTTTTCTAATCTCGACATAATACCAACTCTTAAACCCCATAATCAACTTGAATATTCTCCACCGAGCGATAAACAGGTTAAATGCTGCTTTAACGATTCTTTCCCCTCACAATTTACCGCAAACAAACATACGGAAGGAGTATATGAGGTTAATATCACTAAAGACCATAAGAAATTTAGGAAAAGAAGAGTTCTGAATATAACAAGAACAGAAGAATTTATTGGTTACGGATATTACGCAGAAGCTACAGCTGTACCAATGATAAACACTCCACCAGTGATTGAAAGACGGCGTAAAATAGGAGAAGTTGGGTCCAACGCGCCATTACTTAATTATATATTCGATACTTATTCAAATACACATCAACACCGAAATGAAAAGTAAGTAAATTCTTTTTAATTATTACCTCAACTTAATAGCTATGTGAAAAATAAGCTATGATTAGACTACGACATAAATTCCGACATAAATGTCCGACAATGTCGAAATGTGTACTGTTTACACTTGTACGGATTTTTACTCAGCGGCTGACATCATCATCATCAGCTCACTATAGGTCACCACCGAGGGGCTCGAAGCCTACCCTAAGTTAAGGGTGATTAGACTGACATGATTAGATCGGTAATCGTGGCGATCTTTGGGGGAGGGCCATAGCCCACTGCTGGGCATACCCAGCAGTGGGCGTCTCATGGCTGAGTAGAGAGACTGACATGTCGCAATAAATTTTACAATCACAGACACTCGTGTTCATACAGAGATTCTTGTCTAATTATACCATTTGAAATTTACAAAGACTAGTTATTAGTATTACATTAAATAGGTACTACAGGTTACTATCATTTTCAAGTTATAGTGAAATTTATGCAATATAAGGATGTAATGCTTAGAAGTTTACAACTTAAGCTAGTATAAGTCAGTAAGCTGGGCGTTCATCTTTAGTTTCACGTTGGAGAAACTTGACTGTAATCCCTGACGCCGGAACCAGATAGTTAATTTGTTAATTGGCGTTTCATGAGCTGATTTACGATATTCTCGATATTACGAGTAATGTATCTACTTAGTATTAGTTGTAAGAGGAAATTTAGTAGCCCGATTATAGAAGGGTATTTTTAAAGGTTGAAGTACCACCATTCGATTGTGATTCATTTATCAATTAGGTTTCCCATTTAGCAAAAAATGCTTAAGAGTTTGCAGATTCGAATCTTACTTGTGTAATAGGTTTTATAATTTACTTTGAATATTTACAATTTTTTTATCAGTCTTAAACTTAAAACACCTATGTATGTGAACCTCTTTATCTCACTCTGATATATCATCAGAAAATGTTATTATTATATTAAAAAATGCTTTAGCACTATTAGTAAAATAAATAACAAAGAATTTCTACCGAAAGCAGTTTTAGTGGAACATATCGGTGCTCTTTTACAACCACTTGATGTGAGTAATATCGATCCCCGGCGGTCAAAGGGTTAAAACAGTTTCTAGCAGTATGCTTAGAGTTATACAATGTAAGTTGAAAATAAGTGTCCTTAAGTCTTGAACAAACAAATAAACAACGCTGACGTTTCAGGCCGGGCAACGGAAACAGTATCTACGCGGCGGCCGCACCAGAAATGGAGGCGCTAGTGGGCTCCACCGCGCACCTCGACTGCAAAGTGGATGCGCTACACGATAAGCTGGTAATGAACATAGATTTATTGCGACGTTCGCCTTACAAGATTAAATTATTTTCACTTCATTAATTCACATTGTTATACTAACTCTTGGCTTACATTAAATTGTCTCTAAAATCCACAAACACGGATAGTAGCTCTCTTCTCAGCTAAATTAACTACAGTAAATAATTAATTCTCCTTATCTCAACGAACAATGATTGACGAGTTGACTGAAAATAATCAAATGTACAACAATGTAATTTGCATGATTTTAGTCTAAAAATATACTGGCCTATAAATAGGACAAAGGCGATTTGTCACAAAAATGTCGAAAGTGATAAATGAGATGAAAGCCTATGTAGGTTGGCTTCCTACGCAAAACAAACTTGTATGCTATCAAACAACTCTTTTGATATTTATATTCTATATTCAAATGACTTACAAAAATAACGAAATTTAACAATTGTAGGCAGTAGTTCATAACCACTAATAGCAAGCGACTATTTCCACAAAGTAGTCGCGGAACTCTGATCGTGCGCGGCTATCATTTTATAGTAGTAGCAGTGGCCTCAGCGGAAATAGAACACGTAACTCCATATACATGATGGTTGTGCGCTGATTTTCGCTTAGTGGAAATAGCCCCTAACTGTTTGTTGTGCAATGCAGAATAATAGGTCAAATGTGTTAATAATTTGTGATATAGTGTATGAAAATTAATATACTTGCTAAAAGCTGTTTCGCAATGCTATAAATAAATTATCAAGATGCACTAATTAAAACCGGAATAATCATAAATCCAATAAATAAACATTACTGCATCCCATGGTACATGAGAATTAAAAGCGCCTACAGCTATTTAGGTCGCTATATTTTACGCATCATAAAATGTGCAATTTTAAATAGGTAGGCGCTGTGATTAATATATTTTTGATCAATTATTGTTTTTATTAATGAAGTAAACCTCCTCTACTACCTCGCTGTTCAATAAGTTTATTCTGTTACTGTATTTTTATCTTGTAAATAAACAAATACTCCATTACAATAAATATTCGATGTTATTGTGTTTATTCACTCATGACAAATAAAAATTCAATTATACTTTCTTGTAAATAAAATAGGTAGACTTCTTCGTATTCTTTGATGTTATAAGATAAGATATACTTAAATTATTTATTTTAAGCCTTTCTATTATTGACAGGAATATTAAAGAAAATTTCAACGACTACTTCCTTTAAAAAAATAGATTAAGATTACGATGAAAATTTAAATTCCTATGGTTTATCTGCACTTAAGTTTAAAAACAATAATATTTTATTAGGTATCGTGGGTGCGTCGAAAAAATGATGAAGAGCCAATGGAGCTCCTCACAACGGGTACACAACTGTACACTGCTGACAAAAGGTATGTTTATTTTTAAGCTCGTTATACACGTTTAATTTTTACTGGAAACTGTACTGTTACAACAGAAGGTGTATAGCAGGCTTTACATTAGATGTGTTATTATATCGATAAGGTAATATTAAAATAACAGTTAGTAGTTAATCTTTTCACGGCAACTTTGAGCAGATCATAACATTGTTTCCTTAGTTATGTCAAAAAAGTATATTTTGCGACGTTATCTTTAGTGTGTTTTATAGGGTTTTTATTTATTTTTTACAGCACTTACCATTATAAAAAGAACGGCGAGGACTTAATGGTCTCAGACATTCCCGACCCGGAATTAAACGGATGGCATACGTCATTTACATATTTCATTCATTTAATCCAAGCCTAATGCGTTCGGTGGAAAGGAGACTTTAATTTTGAATATGCTTTTAGGAATAAAGGTAGCCGCAAACGAACCAAACATACTTACTTGAGTGGAATATATAATGATTAAAAAGTAATAGTGAAATAAATAAGAAATATTTGTCTAGTATTCACAATTATTAATATTCCACACAAACTTTTTATTTTTGAGTGCTACATAACCTTTTTATGTACATATTACATGCTTAAAAACAATAATTTCGAAATCTATTTATCTTCTTAGATATTCCGCCCGCTTTATCCCTCCTGACATCTGGCGTCTGGAAGTACGAGAAGTTCGTCCAACTGACGCCGCTCATTACGACTGTCAATTATCTGCCCACCCGCCTCGCACTGCGCGTGTCACATTATTAGTGCCGGGTGAGTATAACAATAGTGAATCGAACAATTCGCACAAAGAACAAAAACGTTAAAGTTGTGCTTGTAATATATAGATAGTGCTATAAGACCGTAAGCCTTATTATCAAAGGAAAAACACAGAAGACGTAAGTTAAATGAGAATTCAAGCTTCTTAAGGGCTAAGGGTTAAATAGGGATAATGCCAATGCAAATCAGACCAGGTCTAATGACACAAGAATTGAGTAAGAAAATGGACCACCTATTAGATCGCGATCATGAGCGTCCACGGATTGAGTTAATAGATGTACACAATTGGGGACGGGTGTTGACTGATGATAATCTAGTTCTGTAAAAGGACATATCGTAGATACAAATGATAGCAAAATAATGTTGTTTAAATTTCAATCAACTGTCCTGAACGTAAAGTTTACTTTTGTGTAGTGGTGTCAGTTCGCATCGTGGATGGGGCTGGTGCGTCAGTGACAGAGCAGGTGTGTGAGCTGGGCAGCACGGTGGCTCTGCGGTGCGAGGTCCGTGGCTTGCGCATGGAGGGTGGACCCTCACTGCTCTGGTACCGCAGAGAATATCTGCTCAATGACGACACCACTAGGGGTGGCATCAGGTTTGTGTCTATTCTATTTGATATCGTGAATACAATCGTATTTGGGAACATATTCCAGAATAAAATTAAGTACAATGTTTTGTTTTTAATTATTTAATAAAAATTTACTCGTCCTTGAAATGCATAAAATTACCTATACCTGTTTTTCAATGAAATTACAATATTGTGGCTTATAGAAATATAAAAATTATTGTGAATATTTGTTCATTTAAACAAGCTTTAAGTGTTATAGGCCTGTTTTATTGTAAGTACCTGGTAACCTAGTTTTAATCAATGAATAAGCACCCCTTGGGTACGCAATCCAACTTTCCTTTTTCTATACCCATTTAAATGGAAATCAATATTCCCTCCTTTCTTTTGTTCCGATACTTATCTTTTCTTTGTATCAAGTGAGCCGAGAAACTTCAGTCATGTTATGAAGTACATGCCTTTGTTTATTTTTAATCTCACGAGCCTGTGCCCGACTAAAACCTCTCAATGTTTCCCACGCTCATGTCTTCAATGTTGACGCAAACTATTACTTTACTTGAGGCAATACGTTCCGTAACCTACATGTAAATTAAAATACATGTTTTTTACCGAGTTCCTTTGATAGGATTATGATGAAACTTATGTAGGCTGTTCTAAGAGAACTCGAGTTTGTTTTAGTCCTCTAAAACATGTAAATAAAAAAAGTTTCGACATTTCGGATTGTTTTAAATGGAATGAATTTGAACATTGAAAAGTATGCGTCGTTCAGACTGTAAAGTAATAAGTAACTAAATTGTATTTTTTATTTGTGTTCAGTGTTCGCACGGAGTTCGGTGCTAATGGTGCGAATTCTGTGCTTCGTGTGGCCCGAGTGCGAGCGGACGACGCCGGTCGCTACTCGTGTAGTGTCGCGCGCGCACCTCCACCAGCACCCCCGCCCGCCACTGTCATGTTACATGTCATCAAAGGTGATAATGTAGTAGTTAATTTCCTGTTGGTTTCTGAGACCGAAACCTCTGTCTGTCTCTGAAACTCATGATTAGTATCATATTCATTTTCATAATGATCCATCTACGTGTCTTTTGCTGGACGTCAACTTTCATAAATTGAATCATTAATAAACTAAAAATTTTTCAAACTTATATGTTCTTATTTTTACTTAAAAAATATAAATTTCGATTATATTCGTGTGCGTATATTTTGTATTTTTACATCTTAAATTAATTTCGTCAGATAATTGTTACGAGTCCTGAATATTTCTTTTTTTCCAGGGGAAAGCTTGGCGGAACTACACCAGGGGAAAGGAACAAATTTGACTCCTGGAATTGTAATTTTTATTTTAGCGCTGTGCGCTATTTTGTACTATTAATAATAAGTATTATGATAAATATAATTTTAATATTAATAAACTGTTCGTATATACTTTCTAGTTTTATTAAAACCTTATTTGAAGCAGTTGGAAAATTTAGATTTGTAAAAAAAAATCCAACGCAAGATCTAAAATTACTTTAACAATGGTAGAGCCTACAATAACATCTTTTGGACGAAAAGGTCGGTTCGGTTGTCTAGTGAAATACCACGACCACACAGAAGATACGCGTAAAAAACTTATTGATTTCTGAAAAATCTTTAATAATGATTAAATATAAAATGGACTAAGAATGTTTTCTTAAAAGAAATACTGAATTAAATTGTAGTGTTTATAAACGCTTTTTAATAAAAGGGGACGAAATATAATCTGAAAGATTCGAGTTCAAGGATTTTGGTTTCGTGAATATAATTATCTAGATGTTTCAGTCAATTCCCTTTCGATAAAATAAATACAAACACAAAGAAATCGTTTCTTTTTTTCTGAAATAAACATTTCACATTTTAACCTTTTCTTTACAGTGAATGAAATTAACGCACGTCACCAACATTCTAATGGATTGTAAAAAAGCGTTCACGTGTTTAGTGGCTTATATAATATTTAAGACCGAGACTTTGGGATTAGTAATTTATGACGCTGACGATAAGTACTCTTAGAATATAAGACACATCTGTTTGTCGAATTCTTTTGTTATCTACTTATATATATTAAACATATTATGTATGTTGTTGTTTAGGTATATACTTCAAAAGGTACTTTCCTACACTATTATTAACGTAAATACAAGAACCTTCAGATTAAAGTTAGCACTTTGCTTGCTACAAATAGCTGCTGAAAATTTAAGCTACTGGAAACAGTTCGAGAATGTCATTTCGATTTCTACTGTTACTTGACAACTCGAAATTGTTACAATACAATGAAAATACTTATTAACTATTCTAAATAGAACTAGGACAAGTTAGAAACTAGGAGATGAGGTCCTCAATTTATTGCACCTTTATAGAGTTGCTGGAGGTTAAAGAGGATAAGCCGTCGGAATCCACGTTACAAAAGACCTCATTTCTAGTAACAAATTTAAGAAAATAGTTGGGGTTTTTTTGGTTAATCCATATTACAGCTTACGAAAGTTTGGGTAAAACTACGAATAAGGAGTTAAAGAGGTCAAGGTACGCTACGAAACACATTTATAACCTAACACAAACTTAAATCTATTTAAAGGTTAAAATAATAATTTTGGATGGAAGAGGGAATAAAATGGATCAATTAGCTACTAGTCAATAGGCTGTTTTGATGACTATTTTGATTCAATCGGTGTAAGAAGTAAACTATTTAAAAATGTCACTTAAAAAATCTTTAATTGGGAATTTGCAGGATCTACAGAAATTAATAAATAAAACAATATTGAAATATTATTGGGAAAACGTAATAATTTCTACAGGCATAGATCAACATCATACCATCATGGCAAAGAGTAATGTATTGCCCAATTTCGAACATCACGTTTGAATATAAATCAAACTAGCGCGAGGTGGTTTGAAAAAAATAAAAAAGAAATTCAATAGCATACAAATATGTTGTACAGTCAGCTGCATAAATATGTATATACTAACAAAGACTTATACAGGACGTCGGTTTTAAATATTTACGCATGTATTCGTTAAGAACAAGAACTAATAGACGGAAGCATATAAAGCGATTCGTGCATACATATTTTTAAAAACCATAGGCGTAGACAAGTTTCTGAAGCTTGGTAAATTTCTAAATATTTATGCAGCTGACTGTACAGAGCAATCAGTAGTGGCGGAGACCCATTGATTATATTTTAATACCGCATTATATTTGCAAAGTCTGTAGGCTGCTAATATCTTCCTAGGGAATAAGTTAATATTTAAAATGAAAACTACGGACAAGAGTAGCCATTTTCCAAAATTGTCAAAAGTTTTATTACCTACCATTGTATTTTTAAAGAAAATGGAACATATTCAGCCACGAAGTAATTTTGTATTCATAAACATAAAACAAAACGATTTGCTCGCTGCACGGATGTGTCCCACCGGAACAATTTGCAACTTGCTTTAATATTTAATCAGAAATCTCATTAAGAAGTGAATAATATGTGTACAAAGCTTTGCAGATATTCTAAGGTTCCCTACGTGAAGGTCGGCGAGGGACCGATCTAATTCATAGTAAGGGTTACAGTTTAACAATAAATGTTTGTGGGCTTATGATGAAGAAACTAAGCATTTGTAATTTCCCTCTCTTTGTTCAAAACTAGACCAGTTTAAAAAAGACAGATTTTCTTATTTTTAACAGTTAAGTATATGATTTCTACTTCTAACTTTACGGATGTGAATAACGAGAAAGAATGAACGAGAACTTGGGTGGAGTCTTGGCTGCTCACGTAAATAAGTAACGTTTAAACACTAGATTTGCGTTTTTACGCATTAGTGTATTCCACCAGATATCCCAGGACCTCGTCAATGGCAATCTTGTTCCTCTCCAGGACTAGGGTAATTTTGTTTAGTTTTGCTCCCCGATACACAAAAACGTTTTGCGTTTTAATAAACATATTACAGCGTGGTATACTTTGGGACTATGACCATGACCAAGATTGTGCATTTTCTGACAAATACGCCATTTGTGATATTATACAGAGATTAAAAATAAAAATCCACAGTAAAAGTATTTTTTCCTGACAGCAATGAGTTTTTGTTATTTTTGTAATTTATGAAAAAAAAAACGTGTTAAAATAATTCAGTTTCCACTGACATGTCTGTTGATGGAGACAATTTGATAAATGTGTTTTGGTCACATTTTTTTTTCTATCCTTTTACGTAAAATATTGGAAATTTTGCGAAGCTGAAAATATGATTCCTCTAAGGAATACCCGACACTGCTGTAAATTTTTTCAACTTACTTTTATTACGAAAGCTGTATTGTAATTTGAAGAATTTCATATATCTATGTATGTAGGAAATATGTTGGGATACGAGACTGTGTTTGTGGTTGTTTGTGTTATATTTTTGGCGATTTCCTGCTTTAAAAAGTAACCTGACGATGAGCATGGAAATAACTTATATTTACTGTAACTAGATCATATCTCCGGAGTAAAAATACTCTTCTAATGTTAGGAAGAAAATCCGACACTTTGCCGGTGTACTTGCGCAACACTAGCCTTTCTAAAATGTCGACGTTTATGTCCCCTCACTAATCATTGACTATTTATAACTCAAGAACGGCTTTACCGATATGGCTGAAAATTGTTGAGGAGGTAGCTTAGAGCCAGGAGACGGACATAGGATACTATTTATTCTTTTTTTTTCGAATTCATGCTTTGAAGAGCTACTTTTTATTTAACTTACTAATATTATAAAAGCGAATGTTTAGATGGATGTGATGTGGATGGGTGTTCGAAGATATCTCTAGAACGGCTGAACGGATCTCGATTAAATTTGGCATACGTATATAACAAAGTCTGAAAGAACACATATGCTACACTTATTAAGTTTTTTGTATATCCACGCGGACGGAATCGCGGGCGACAGCTAGTAATGTCTAAATGTAAGGAGTACATTCTAAGTATTACAACATAGAAAAAGTTTATTTTTATATGAAATGCTAATCCGAAGCGCAAGTTGCCGAGGTAATATGTCAGAAGTAATCGAAAACAGCGCTGTTATAAATCCACATCAAAAACCTTTATCGCTTGAAAATATGCCGTCCAATTTCGTTTGCCGATTTGAAAAAGATAAATCAACTCTGAATGTGATCTTTTTTATATCCAATGGATTTTATACACAAATGTATGTATTGTATGCGAATTTATTTTTATTTAATACTTTCTTAACATAACTTCTGAACTAGCAAGAGAAAAGAGAAAGAAAGACAACCTCGTTTTAGAATGTTAAAGTTCATTTCCACCAGCAGCAATTCTAAATATTTAAAACACTAATCTAATGAATAAAAAATACTAAAAACTATTTGTATGTTTAGAAGATTTATCAATGAATTGTTTGTATTTGTTGTGTAAAATATTATTTGTTTTATCTTTTATTTTCTTCGCGTCTCTCGCTTTCTGTATTTCTTCTCCCGTCAATTTTTCTTTCCGTGACGTTATATGAGAAAATGTCGTCTGGCAGGAATCCAATTATTTTTCACTTTATGGGTTCTATTAAAGGCGTTATAAATACTGTTTCTTAGAAAAATTTTTTTTTGAATACACCTTATTTTATTTTATACGGAAAATATATTAATTGAAAAATATTTAAAATTCAAAATTAATGAAAAAAAAAATTTGCAATTTTTTATCATCTGAAGAAAACTTAAGACCACTGTTCGGTATAGTTGCGTTATACTGACGTCATATTAATGCAAATTTAATGTTGTCGGTTTATACCAAAATAAGGTAGGTCGGCTCACTTTTATTCTCCCGCACAAGCGGGTAGTTTCGGAATCCCCCTCCGCTACGGGTGGCCGCGGGGCCTGCGGGGGGTACGGGTAAGGGAGTGAGTCGACACCAGTTAAAGAGTTGAGTTTCAGCATCGGAAGTCGTCGGAACTAATATCGGGTTATCTAGCGTACCGGGTCGCTAAGTGTACGGTTCCGCGTTCGGTCTGATCGCGACGCGTCTGTAACGCGCTTACGGGAAGCAGTGCATCGGGTGCATTAGAAGTGCAGCATTGCTGGCGCCTTTAGACTGTATGACAGAGACTTATTTGACTCGACTGACACCGACAGAGTGACTAGGCACCTGCAGGCGGTGAACGGGCATCGAGGGGGTAAGTGCCATTTTCATACACCCGTTGCAATATTACGCCAACCCTCGCAACGCGTAATTCAGGAGGGTTGTGCCGCGGCACCCGAACCGTCGTGTTCGGCACAATTCGATGGTAGCAGAGCGTGGTTAGGTTAACACGTAGGTTATAACCGCGTGGTTATATTCCGGGCATACGTGTCTTTCGGGTACGTGTTGCGTCGCTTGACATAATTTTGTAACGTCGTCGCGGAATAAAACGGAATATTATTATATTATATTACGTAGTACAATTATAGATAGTAGGTTTTTTCACTCGGTTCGTTTATATAAAATTCTTTATTGTACGATTGCTACGTAATATTAATTATACGGCGGCGTTTAGGGTTCCGTTCATTGATTGATATAGATTAGATTATTTAATTTAGGGTTTTTTCATAACGGTTTTTTGTAGTATATTTAAATTAGGGTTATTTTGCATAACGATTTCTGTAGATTATATTAGAATAATAATTTAATTTAGTCATTTTTCGTTTGGTAGTTTTATGTTACGGTTGATAATTTAACTTGGAGTTTTTTCATTACGGTTGGTTTTTTTGTGTTTTTTATTTCATTTTTTTTTTAATTCTTATTTCAACGGTTTACTTTTATAGTGTGACTTTGTTTAAAGTCAGGTTTATCTACCCTCGGTTTTTGATTTTTTTTTCTTTTAACGGCCATATTAGTAAGCGTTTTTCTAGAAGCTTCGATTGTTTTTCTACCTTATTTTATACTTTTTTTTTTGGAAATTTATTTAATTATGGCTGGCAAATATACCGCTAGGATAGGAGGCGTGCTGAGATGGCTCGGCTCAGCGGTTTTAAATATTTCCAGGCCAGATCGTGCGCAGGCTCTTATGGCTAGGTATCAGGTCTTGGATGATCAAATGGCGGATTTATATGCGGCGTACCGTGCGGTTTTAGAATTGGGTTTAGAAGCGGACGCCATAAATAAGATCAATGCCGACATTGATCAGGCCGACGACTTGGCCGATCAAATTGTTCAGGCTGTCGAATGTCTCAGGGGGTCAAGCACTGCTGACGCGCGGGTTACTGCGGAGTCGGAGGCGTCACCAGCGCTTATGAGCAGATTGCCGCTGCTCGATTTGCCACGTTTTAACGGGGACCTAGACCAGTGGGTCGCATTTAGTAATTTATTTGAGAGCATAGTTCACGGTCGTACGGATTTGACCCCGGCTCAGAAGCTTGCTTATTTGTTGGCATCGTTGACGGGCGAGGCGAAGGGCCTTGTCCAACATTTAGGCCTTGTTGATGGCAATTATGAAATCGCCCGGGACCTACTCAGCCGCAGGTACCAGAATGTTAGGCGAATAGCAGATAGCCACGTGGCTGCCATTCTAGGCCTACCTCAGATTTCGGTTGCGCAGTCGTTGCGCACGCGGCTTCTTAACCCTTTGTTAATAGCGGTTAACGGTCTCAAGGGTTTGGATTTACCTGTGTCCTCGTGGTCATTTTTGTTATTGCATATTATTTTATCTAAATTACCGCACGAATTACGGAATAGATTTGAACTGGAATACGGCGGGGACTCCGCCACTCATCTTCCCAGTTTTGACAACCTAATTTTATTCCTGGAGGACGAGTGTCGTCGAACGGAGAATGTTCCCCCTCCTTCCCCGGGGCCGTCCGTCGGTGCTCGTCGAGCGAGGCCCGCTGATAGTAAATTCCCGGCAGGGTCTCGTCACCGACCACGTGTGATTCATGCCGCGGTGGCACAGACACAGGAATCTCGTTGTAACTATTGTCGGGACACAGGACACGGTGTTACGGGTTGTCCCAAGTTCCGGGAATTACGCTGGCAGGCTCGGCGCAATATTGCTCGTCAGCGGTTTTGGTGTTATGTTTGTCTCGGAAGCCATTTAGTCTCGTCCTGCCAGTTGAGTCGTGCGTGCGGTCAGTGTGGAGGTAAGCACCATCTTTTGCTTTGCGGTAATCGTAACGGCTCGCCTTCAGCTAACTCACAGCAACGGATAGCTTCTCCTGTAGGTGATAGGAACCTAAATATTGATGGCCAATGGGCTGGTGCTAGTCAACGGGTATCGTTTCACCGTGGTGTGCGGTCTCCACCACGACACCATACAAACCGTAGGCAGCAACGTCGTCCACAATCGGAAGCGTGTACGGGCGGGGGAGCTCGGAGCGCCATTTATGCATCGGCAGATGAGCCGCGTGATGTCGGCAATCGCTCGCCGCTCTCTTTTGCTGATTGGCCCCGGTTAGAGCAGCGCTGCCCGCAACCACAACGTCATCGGAGGTTAAGTGACCAGGATCGCACCACACCGCCTTCACGTCCAGGTAGTTATCCTGGGGAGTTTTGACTCGTGCGACATACTCCACCGCAATACTCTCCTGCTCCTCTTACGGTTTTATTACCAACCGCTCAGGTCCGTGTCGGTTCTCCTCGGAGTCAACAGGTAACCGCGCGCGCGGTTTTGGACTCGGGTTCCCAGGGATGTATTGTGTCAACGCGGTTGGTGGAGCATTTACGATTGCGGATCGAACGAGGCGCGGATTATATCCGTGGTATAGGCGGTGTTATAGTAGATGATTTGGTAGGACAGGTTTCCTTATGTTTCTCGCCAATTGGTAGTCCTCATCGGCGCATCACCTTTAAGGCCATTATCATGGATAATATTCTTGGAAGGCATCCACTTATTTCCCTACCCCCAGGGATTGTAAACTTAACTTCAGCTGATTCAGATTTTCATGTTCCTGGAACTGTAGATCTGCTTTTAGGTGCAGATGTATTAGGGTTGCTGCAAACAGGGGGTAGCAAACTTCTGCAAGCAGGAGGATTGTCAGCAGTCTCAACTGACCTCGGTGAAGTTATTATTGGTCCAGCCTTTCCCGTGAGTCCCTCCATGCCAAATATGGACGTCCAGGTTGGTCTCTCTCTCGCTGATGCTGTCCAGCGGTTTTGGGAGGTCGAAGAACCACCCACAGCACCTCGTGACAACCCGGAGTATCTAGAGTGTGAGGCGTTCTTCCAGAACAATATCGGGCGGCTCAGGTCAGGTCGGTTTGTTGCGCGTTTGCCCTTCCTTCCGTCCCGCGCTCCGCTTGGCCAGTCCAGGTTCTTGGCAGAGAAGAGATTGATGTCTATGGAACGCCGTATGAAGAGGGACCCCGTGTTTAAACAAAAATATCTAGACTTTATGCAGGAGTATTGCGACTTAGGCCACATGTCAGTTTCCACATTTGATTGGCGTACGCAGGAACACTATTTTATTCCTCATCATGCTGTGTTCAAGGGAGAGAAGATACGAGTTGTCTTTGATGGTTCTGCTCCTACTTCTACCGGGGTCTCCCTTAACCAGTGTTTGCATGCTGGCCCTAAATTGCATCGTGACATTTCGGACATTTTGACGGCATTCCGCCGACACCAGGTCGTTTTTGTTGCGGACATTAAAATGATGTTTCGTCAGACAATCATACATCCGGAAGATCGTCGATATCAGCTCATATTGTGGCGCGATGATCCCTCTGACCCTATTATGGCTTATGAGCTGAATACGAACACTTATGGTCTTAAATCCAGTCCGTTCATCGCAATCAGGACGCTTCTCGAATTGGCGGAGCGTGAACGGTTGGACTTCCCTAGAGCTGCAGCTGTACTGTCCAGTGATATTTATGTCGATGACATCTGTACCGGCGCAGCCAATGAAAAAGAGGCGCTTTTATTAAGAGATGAGTTGATTGGCATCTTAAGGACTGGTGGTTATGAGTTGAGAAAATGGGTATCCAACTCTCCGGCTCTCCTTGACGGCTTACCCAAGGAGCATCAGCAAGATCCTCATCTATTTCAGAACGTTGATAATCCTGACGCCATTGCAGTACTCGGGGTGCAGTATCAGCCTGTTCAGGATGTCTTCACGTTTAGTGTACAGGATTTAGACATATCCCGGGTTTGGACTAAGCGATTGGTACTCTCCACAGTTGCCCGAATATTCGACCCCAACGGGTGGTTGACGCCAGTTGTGTTTTGGGCGAAGTGTTTCCTTCAAAAATTATGGTTGGAAAATCTTACATGGGATATCCCGCTCAATGGCGAATTGTTGTTGGCGTGGTCTCGTTTTGTCTCGTCCCTTCCGGACATTCAATTGGTTAAGATAGAAAGAACATTATTACCTGCTGGTAAATGCCGGGTGACTCTTCATGGCTTTTGTGATGCCTCGGAGTTGGGCTATGCGGCTGCAGTCTACATTCGTGCGGTTGACAGAAACGGTAGTGTTACCGTAAGATTAGTTATAGCTAAAAGTAAGGTGGCGCCTATTCGGTCCCGGCTGACTATACCAAAATTGGAGCTCTCAGGAGCTGCTCTTCTTTCGAGACTCCTCAATCATGTTGTTTCCACCTTAGGTCAAACAGTGGCCTTCGAGAAGATCTATGCATGGACCGACAGTCAAATTGTTCTTTGTTGGCTTCGGGCGTCTGTTCATGCCTTGGAGGTTTTCGTTGCCAATAGAGTTTCCCAGATTCGCGATTCAACGGCTGTTATTAATTGGAGACATGTACCAGGGGACCTAAATCCAGCCGATTGCGCTTCACGAGGTTGCGAATCTTCAGTTATTTTGAGTCATCCATTGTGGTGGGGACCAGTCTGGTTGTGTGAACCTGAAGGTTGCTGGCCCCATAATATTGTCGACCCGATTGAACCGTTACCAGGACTTCGAGTATTAGCGGTGGAGTCGGAGCCGAAGCAAAATTTAGACGAATTGCTCGAACGGTTTAGCTCCCTTGATAAATTGTTAGGAGTGACGGGTTGGCTTAAACGGTTTATTCACAACACTCGAAATAAATCCGATAGACGGTTTTCTCCAGTGCTTACCCCGGAGGAAAGAAGGGAAGCATTGTTGTTCTGGGTGCGGTTAGAGCAGAGTCAAAGTTTCCAAACTGCAATCAATAGTTTACGAAAGGGGGATAAATTAAAGGGTGCCATTGCACGTCTTAACCCTTTTATTGATGACAAGGGTATGATACGGGTAGGCGGTAGATTACGAAATGCGGAGTTACCTTATGCGGCTCGACATCCCCTTCTGTTGCCCAAGGACAGCGTCCTGGTAGAACTTTTGATAACTGATCGGCACGTACGGAACTCTCACGCGGGTTTGTCAACACTTCTAGCAATCCTCCAAAGGGAGTTTTGGATTTTGTCGGCACGGCGGGTTATACGAAGGGTCATTTTCCGTTGCATTCCGTGCTATAGGTTGAAGGCCGCGATAGTGCAACCACAAATGGGTGACCTCCCTCCAGATCGGGTTAGAGCTTCGAGGCCGTTTTCTGGAGTTGGTACGGATTTTGCGGGTCCGTTTCAGGTTAAGTCGTCCACGTTACGAAATGCTAAGGTGACGAAGGCCTACCTGTGCGTTTTTGTTTGCCTTTCCACCAAGGCCGTACATTTGGAGGTAGTGTCAACGTTGAGCACCGAGGCATTTATCGCTTGTTTGTCCCGGTTCGTCAGTCGTCGAGGGTTACCGAGTTTGATTCGGTCCGACTGTGGGACTAATTTCAAGGGCGCAGATCGATACCTTTCGGAAGTCTTTACGTTTTTAAATGACAATCAGGTTTCAATAGGTTCCAATATGTCTAAACGCGGTATAGAATGGCGATTCGATCCCCCTGCATATCCGTCCTGGGGTGGAATTTTTGAAGCGGTTGTGAAGGTAGCTAAGACTCATCTTCGACGAGTCATCGGAGAAACGTTGCTCACCTTCGAAGAATTGGCTACGGTATTTTGTAAGATTGAGGCGGTTCTTAATTCGCGTCCACTGTGTCCTGTGTCTTCGGATCCCAATGATTTGGAGGTTTTGACCCCAGGTCATTTTTTGATTGGTGGACCACTCACCGCACTACCAGAGTATCCCTTTACGGAGACACCATTAAATAGGTTAACTCGTTTCGAGTTGCTGCAACAACTTTCCCAAAGCTTCTGGCGGAGATTCAGCTTAGAGTACCTCCATTTGTTGCAGCAACGGGTTAAATGGTGTGACAAGACCGACCCACCTAAGGTTGGGGATCTCGTTCTAGTGAAAGAGACGAATATGCCAACGCTGTCTTGGAGACGGGGTCGAATCCTGAGGCTAATTTTAGGCGCGGACGGTATTCCTCGAGTTGCCGAGGTGTTAGTAGGCAATTCGGTGTTAAAGCGAGCGGTCGCAACTCTCTCCCGACTCCCAGTTACCTAAGTATAATTTTCCATTAAGAAGTTTGGACGCAGCCAGGTATCGTCTGGCTGGGGCGGGGGACTGTTCGGTATAGTTGCGTTATACTGACGTCATATTAATGCAAATTTAATGTTGTCGGTTTATACCAAAATAAGGTAGGTCGGCTCACTTTTATTCTCCCGCACAAGCGGGTAGTTTCGGAATCCCCCTCCGCTACGGGTGGCCGCGGGGCCTGCGGGGGGTACGGGTAAGGGAGTGAGTCGACACCAGTTAAAGAGTTGAGTTTCAGCATCGGAAGTCGTCGGAACTAATATCGGGTTATCTAGCGTACCGGGTCGCTAAGTGTACGGTTCCGCGTTCGGTCTGATCGCGACGCGTCTGTAACGCGCTTACGGGAAGCAGTGCATCGGGTGCATTAGAAGTGCAGCATTGCTGGCGCCTTTAGACTGTATGACAGAGACTTATTTGACTCGACTGACACCGACAGAGTGACTAGGCACCTGCAGGCGGTGAACGGGCATCGAGGGGGTAAGTGCCATTTTCATACACCCGTTGCAATATTACGCCAACCCTCGCAACGCGTAATTCAGGAGGGTTGTGCCGCGGCACCCGAACCGTCGTGTTCGGCACAACCACTCATATCCAAATTTTTTTTCTCTGCATAAATTTCATTTATACCAGTAACTTATTTTTTGGTTCTAATAAACTTCTTTAGTAAACGTGAAAATACTAAAGTCATTCCTTTTCAACTTATCTAATTTGAACTTGTATAAAAGTATGCACAAGTTCAGGCTGGGAACAATTTAAATTGCCGCAAACTTTCCTTAATTATATGACTCGACTCTAATAAAGCATTTTGTGATCCGGATTTTAAATCTTTTTATTCTTGGATAGGCTTACAAACGACCGTTCGAAATTACAAAAGACGGTTCAACTTTCTTTGCTCTACGATTAAAAGATGAAATAAGAGCTGCTTAATTTCAGAAACCGAACAAATGAAGGCTACACTACTATAAAACTTTTTATATTTATTCCGTCTAATAATAAATTTGTTTTTAATAAGCTGTCTGGAATCATAGGATCTTTCTTTACATTAATAAAACAACTAGCTGCCGCCCGCGGTACCGTCCAAACGGAATGAAAAAAGCTCAACGAATCTCTAAGTTTGGTATAGATGTAAAACATAGTCTAGAGTTTTTTCATCTATTCTAAACTTCAGCGAGACCCGTTGAGCCGTCCCGGAGACACTATCGAACAAAAATCCATCGATCCAAACATTCGGATCGATAATGTTAATAAGATATTCATTGTTCGCGCCTGCGATGCGGTGGCACTAAACGTCACTTGGTCTTCCGCTTTCGACCGTCGATGCATACGCGCAACGTTTAATTTGTCCCTTTTGAAACTCTGTATTTCACTAATTAAACCATTACACCTAAATACTTGTGTTTGGCCTAAACATTAATTGTTAATAATACTAATTTTACGCATTTGCAATCTTCTAAATTTGAATCTATTGCTGTTATTTATTGCCTTTCCAGCGATGTCACATCGCTATTTTAGTAATTCTGCTCTTTGTTCACCTGGTACTATAAAAGGCTGAATAAGAGATATTTATAATCGTTTGTACCGACTGCTGTGAGTGTCACAATCCTTTATCCGTTCCTTATTCCGTGTATTCATAGGCAATTACGATCAACACTCTGAGATAATGGCGACAATTTGCATTAAGTGTTCTATTACCAGGTACTACGACGTTAAGGAAATTTGTAAGCATAATATTATCGTTATCTTTATGTAATGGCTCACATACACATATAATGTTTTGTCAGTAACAATGTGAATAAATAAAATATATTTTCTAATATACTTTATACTAAGAATTAGCAAATAAAGTTAAAACAAAGTAATGTTATTAAGTACTACATTTTTAAAATTTCGCGTATGTTCACTGTCTTTATAAGTATGTCTTTAAGCTGTTTTAAATAAAACATTATATACTTTAATTTAATTAAATTGACTGTTAATTATAACGTCTTAAAATTTATGTGCAATCTACAAAATGTAGAGATAGTCTGCTTGGCATTTAAAATTTGATTCCTTAATGTTTAAATTGTCTTATAGTAAGGTAGAGACGATGTATTGATGTTGCTAGCAACAAGTTTCTTTATAAGCACTTTATTTGGCGAATATTGTCCTCTTACAAATGAAATGAAAGATTTTTTTATAACTTTTGTTTTGTGGCAATCTGCCATCATTCACAAGTACTTGTTGATATTGAGTTATTTTATCGCTTAATTGTGTTATTAGTTTATTTGCCTAATTTAGTTTGATTTGTTAGTTTTTTTTCGATAAAATACAACGGTATTTTTTTTAGACTTAACGCAATAACTAAGCAAGGACTAATTACTAAAATAGACAGGACACAAATAAATGTAATTCACAACGCGAGACTAGTAAATAACGAGTCTAGTTTATACATATTTTTGCCACTTACGCTATAAACAAAGTGTTCCTAGCAAATTGTTTTGAATGTCCGCTCTATACTTGATTTACTTTAAATCTCTTGAATTTATAATTGAATGGGTACGGCTTTCGATTCTCTAAAAAATATACGGGGTTCAATTGATCAATTGGTAAAAGCGGTGACCCGAGTTATCCCGCGTCAGGATATATTTTCTATTCGCCCGTATTTCAGACATTTAATCCTAGTAGAGATAAAACATTTGTTATTTTTTACGTTTAACTGCCTACATGTTTGCTAACAACTTTTCAATTCGTGACATGGAATAGCATGAAAAACAATTGAACGAATCGTACGATAACAATTTATAAAAAAAAATTGTTTGATTCATACATATATTATATTAAAATAACATCAATTTTTTATTCAAGTTTTAAAAGAGATATAATTTATCAACCGTCCATAGGTAATAAGCTAAGAAACATACTGTTTGTAACCGTTAAAAACCTGTATAACAATAACATTGTCAACTCTCTCACTTTCTTTGATTTAAAAAGAGATAAGAATACTATTCCTTTGTGTCTAACGTATATAATAAACCTCCAAACTATTCTTATTTCAATAATATAATCCTACTTAAATTATAATAACAGAGGTAAAGCCCGCTTTAACATCTTCGCGTGAATTGGCCCGGCTCGCCCGGTGAAATACCACGACCACACAGAAGACAGGCGTCAAGTGAAAGCAAATCCGCTTTTCGTCTGATGAGTGTGCGTCCCGGAGGCCTATTTTAGCCCTCTTGCCCTTCCCATCATTTTTCTTATGACGAAAGGATGGGAAGTGGAAGTGGACTTTCCGGATGAGGGGATGCATGGGAAGGG